GTTGGTGAACCAGGCGAGGCAGTCATTTGAGAAACCAATGCTATTTAGTCTGCCAATAAGAATGCGGTGGTTGACAGAGTCGAAAGCCTTGGCCAGGTCGATGAAGACGGCTGCACAGTACTGTCTATTATCAATCGCGGTTATAATATCGTTTAGGACCTTGAGTGTGGCTGAAGTGCACCCATGACCAGCTCAGAAACCGGATTGCATAGCGGAGAAGGTACGGTGGTATTCGAAATGGTCGGTGATCTGTTTGTTAACTTGGCTTTCAAATACTTTCGAAAGGCAGGGCAGGATGGATATAGGTCTGTAGCAGTTTGGATCTAGAGTGTCACCCCCTTTGAAGAGGGGGATGACCGCGGCAGCTTTCCAATCTCTGGGGATCTCAGACGTTATGAAAGAGAGGTTGAACAGACTAGTAATAGGGGTTGCGACAATTTCGGCGGCTAGTTTTAAAAAGAAAGGGTCCAGATTGTCTAGCCCAGCTGATTTGTAGGGGTCCAGATTTTGCAGCTCTTTCAAAACGTCTGCTGTCTGAATTTGTGTGAAGGAGAAGCGGGGGGGGCATGGGCAAGTTTCAGCGGAGGGTGCAGAGTTGGTGGCCGGGGTAGTGGTAGCCAGATGGAAAGCATGGCCAGCTGTAGCAAAATGCTTGTTGAAATTCTCGATTATTGTAGATTTATCGGTGGTGATAGTGTTTCCTAGCCTCAGTGCAGTGGGCAACTGGGAGGAAGTACTCTTATTCTCCATGGACTTTACAGTGTCCCAAAACTTTTTGGAGTTAGTGCTACAGGATGCAAATTTCTGTTTGAAAAAGTTTGCCTTTGCTTTCCTGACTGCTTGTGTATATTGGTTCCTAACTTCCCTGAAAAGTTGCATATCGCGGGGGCTATTTGATGCTAATGCAGTACGCCACAGGATGTTTTTGTGCTGGTCAAGGGCAGTTAAGTCTGAGGAGAACCAGGGGCTATATCGGTTCTTAGTTCTGTATTTTTTGAATGGGGCATGTTTATTTAAGATTGAGAGGAAATTACTTTTAAGGAACAACCAGGCATCCTCTACTGACGGAATGAGATCTATATCCATCCAGGATACCTGGGCCAGGTCAATTAGGAAGGCCTGCTCGCTAAAGTGTTTTAGGGAGCGTTTGACAGTGATGAGGGGTGGTCGTTTGACCGCGGACCCGTTACGGACGCAGGCAATAAGGCAGTGATCGCTGAGATCCTGGTTGAAGACAGCTGAGGTGTATTTAGAGGGTATGTTAGTCAGGATGATATCTATGAGGGTACCCATGTTTACGGATTTAGGGTTGTACCTGGTAGGTTCGTTGATAATTTGCGTGAGGTTGAGGGCATCTAGTTTGGATTGTAGGATGGCCGGGGTATTAAGCATATCCCAATTTAGGTCACCAAGCAGTACGAACTCTGAGGATAAATGGGGGGCAATCAATTCACATATGGTGTCCAGGGCACATCTGGGGGCTGAGGGGGGTCTGTAGCAAGCGGCAACAGTGAGAGACTTATTTCTGGAAAGGTGGATTTTTAGAAGTAGAAGCTCAAACTTTTTGGGCACAGACCTGGATAGTATGATAGAGCTCTGCAGGCTATCTCTACAGTAGATTGCAACTCCACCCCCTTTGGCAGTTCTATCTAGACGGAAAATGTTATAGTTGGGGATGGAAATTTCAGAATTTTTGGTGGCCTTCCTGAGCCAGGATTCAGACACTGCTAGAACATCAGGGTTGGCGGAGTGTGCTAACGCAGTGAATAACTCAAACTTAGGAAGTAGACTTCTGATGTTTACGTGCAAGAAACCAAGACTTTTGCGATTACAGAAGTCAGCAAATGATAGCGCCTGGGGAGTAGGAGTGATACTGAGGGCTGCAGGGCCTGGGTTAGCCTCTACATCACCAGAGGAACAGAGGAGGACTAGAATAAGGATACGGCTAAAGGCTTTAAGAACTGGTCTTCTAGTGCGTCGGGTACATAGAATAAAGGGGGCAGATTTCCGGGTGTTGTAGAAAAGATTCAGGGCATTATGTACAGACAAGGATATGGAAGGATATGAGTAAAGTGGGGGTAAACCTAAGCGTTGGGTAACAATGAAAGAGATAGTATCACTAGAGGCATCAATTGAGTCGGTCTCTGAGTGTATGGGGGAGGGACAAAATAGCTATCTAAGGCAGGTTTAGCTGGGCTGGGGGATCTGCAGTGAAATAGTACAATTATAAATAACCGAAACAACAATAAGCTAACCATGTTTGGGCTGAGGCTAAACATAAACAGGATGTAGTACCGTAAAAAGGAACAGTCCAGCAGACATCAGCTGTATAGCTGAGTTATCATAAGGTCCGGTGAACAGCAATAGGATAGTTCGGAGGCTTCTAAAGCACTAGCAGGTAAGAGGCCACGGCTAGCGTGTGCTAGCGGGCCGGAGCTAGCAGATGGAATCTTCGTGGTCGACGTCGTCGCAACCACATCAGACGATTTCGTCGGCAGACCAGTCGTGTAGGATCGGCGGGGCTCCGTGTCAACACTAGGTGGTCCCGTCCGGTTGACAGAGAGGTAGATAGCCGGGAGATGGGCCTAGCTCAGGATGATTAGCCAGACCACAGCGTCCATTTTGTCGCAGCTAGCTGGTAGCGATGAATCCGGAGTTAAAGGTCCAGTGATTCAGTGATTCCGGCAGAAAACTGATATGTTCTGGGTCGATAACGCGCTGTGCAGACTGGCCGAATATCCGGTGATTAATATCCAGTGATTGAATTAATCCCGCAGAAAAAAGTCCAATGTTCTGGGTGAGATACCGCTAACTGTGGCTAATAGCAAGTAGCTAGTTAGCTGGCTAGCTGGCTAGCTGGCTAGCTAGTTTCAACTGGAGATTCTAGATAAAAGGTAAGTCAATAATAGAATCCGTTCCACATTGAGTGAGGCGGGTTGCAGGAAAGTATATTTTGTAGAAGGATGAAAAGTCTGATAGGGAAATATGTACGAAAAATACAAAAAAACAGGGTATTTACAGGCTATTTACAGACACACGACAGAAACAGAACTGCACTACTTCGCCATCTGTAAGCTGTTAGTGTCTTAACGACCGTTCCACAGGTGCATGTTCAGTAATTGTTTATGGTTCATTGAACAAGCATGGGAAACAGTGTTTAACCCCTTACAATGAAGATCTGTGAAGTTATTTGGATTTGTACAAATTATCTTTGAAAGACAGGGTCCTGAAAAGGGACGTTTCTTTTTTTGCTGAGTTTATGATGCATCACTAACTCCAACAAGTTTTGGGCCACTGTAAAGTCCATGGAGAATAGGAGCACCTCCTCCCAACTGCCCACTGCACTGAGGCTAGGAAACACTGTCACCACCAATAAATCTACAATAATTGAGAATTTCAACAAGCATTTTGCTACGGCTGGCCATGCATTCCACCTGGCTACCACTACCCCGGCCACCAGCTCTGCACCCTCTGCTGCAACTTGCCCATGCTCCCCCCCCGCCGTCCCCCCAAAAAATCTGGAACCCTACAAATCATCGAATCCCACCTTCTCCGCTATGCAATCCGGTTTCCGAGCTGGTCATGGGTGCGCCTCAGCCACGCTCAAGGTCCTAAACGATATTATAACCGCGATCGATAAAAGACAGTACTGCTCAGCCGTCTTCATCGACCTGGCCAAGGCTTTCGACTCTGTCAACCACCGCATTCTTATTGGCAGACTAAATAGCCTTGGTTTCTCAAATGACTGCCTCGCCTGGTTCACCAACTACTTCTCAGATAGAGTTCAACGTGTCAAATCGGAGGGCCTGTTGTCTGGACCTATGGCAGTCTCTATGGGGGTGGCACAGGGTTCAATTCTCGGGCCGACTCTATTCTCTGTGTATATCAATAATGTCGCTCTTGCTGCTGGTGACGCTCGGATCCACCTCTATGCGGACGACACCATTTTGTATACATCTGGCCCTTCATTGGACAATGTGTTAACAAACCTCCAAACGAGCTTCAATGCCATACAACACTCCTTCCGTAGCCTCCAACTGCTCTTAAACACTAGTAAAACTAAATGCATGCTCTTCAACCGAACGCTGCTTGCACCCGCCCACCTGACTAGCATCACTACTCTCGGCGGGTCTGACTTAGAATATGTGGACAACTACAAATACCTAGGTGTCTGGTTAGACCGTAAACTCTTCTTCCACTCACATAAAGAATCTCCAATCCAAAGTTAAATCTAGAATCGGCCTCCTATTTCGCAAAACAAAGCCTCCTTCACTCATGCTGCCAAACATGCCCTCGTAAAACTGACTATCCTACCGATCCTTGACTTCGGCAATGTCATTTACAAAATAGCCTCCAACACTCTACTCAGCAAATTGGATGTAATCAATCACAGTGCCATCCGTTTTGTCTCCAAATCCCCATACACTACCCACCACTGTGACCTGTACGCTCTTGTTGGCTGGCCCTCACTACATATTCGTCGCCAAACCCACTGGCTCCAGGCCATCTATAAATCACTGCTAGGCAAATCCCCGCCTTATCTTAGCTCACTGGTCACCATAGCAACACCCACCCCTAGTATGGATAGCATCTATCATTCCAGTGTTAATACTAATTGTAATTATTTTGCACTATGGCCTATTTATTGCCTTACCTCCATAACTTGCTACATTTGCACACACTGTATATATATTTTCTGTTGTATTTTTGACTTTGTTTTGCCCCATATGTAACTCTGTGTTGTTGTTTTTATCGCACTGCTTTGCTTTATCTTGGCCAGGTCGCAGTTGTAAATGAGAACTTGTTCTCAACTGGCTTACATGGTTAAATAAAAAAAAATGAATATATATATATATATATATATATATATATATATATATATATATATAGGGCTATTAGTTATAAACTCCTCATTGGGTTGGACTTCAAGTTCAAACCAAACAACCTTATTGTGACCAAGTCAATGTGACAATAAACACAGAAACATTCAAGTTATTTATTTAGACAATCGGGTGCCCATGGAATACCCAGAAATAAAGTTATGACACTTATAAAATACAATATAGATATACATTCTATGGATGTCACAAACGGTACCCTATTCCCGGTGTAGTGCACTACTTTTGACGAGAGCACTATGGGGCCCTAGTGAAAAGTATCGCACTATATTAGGGAATAAAAAGGTACCAGTGAAAGGAATGGGTTGAGTGTATTCTGTAGTGTCGTCATGCGTGAGCTGAGATGGGGTGGCTCAGGCCTCTGAAGTAAGACTTTTCTCTCTCGGTCATCAGCTCCAAGTGCAGCGGCTGCTGGCAGAAGTTACACTCTGCTGAAGAACGGGGCTTCAGAGGTAGACCGAACTCCTTCCACGTCTGAACCAGCTTCTCTGAAGAGGGGAAATATTGTTTTAGAGGACGTACTTGGCCGTTTCAGTATATTTCCTGAAGTTACATGCTTACTGAAAACCAGCAAAAAAAAAAAAGGTTTACAAACAAATAAATTGAGTTAGTAATCTACTACCGGGATCTTCGCTGGGTCACCCAAATATTTGTCCAGCCACAGAAGTATACTTCAGTTGTATATCTTGAGAAACTCTGAGTTAAACCATTGACCCCTCAAAACATTTCCTTCAGTTTTTGTGCCAAGCACTGAACACGACAAGAGCTTTACAACAACAACAAAACGATTGAGATAAACCATTTGATCAGTTTCCCGTTTCCTGCCAGCTAGACCAAACATGTCGCTTACCGACAAAGTATGTCATCATCTGGGGGGTGTGGTGCGGCGTGGGGGCGATGCGTAGAAGCTCCTCCCCTCTGGCGACCGTGGGGTAGTTGATGGCCTGGACGTAAATGTTGTAACGGCTCATCATGACGTCAGAGACCTCAGTGTTCTTCTCCGCATCAGACACCTGCAGGCCACGTCAAAATCACATTCAAATCAACCCATCCAAGTAAGACCATGCTGAGTATGTCCACAGTGACAATGTTGATGTCTATCAATAGGGTGGCAACAGCTAATGGGGATCCTAATAAAATACCAATATTAACAATGCTGATCAATAATAAAACACTAAAGAACACCTTCCTAATACTGAGTTGTACCTCCCCACCACCCCATTTTGCCCTCAGAACAGCCTCAGCTCTTCGGGGACATGGACTCTACAAGGTGTCAAAAGTTCCACAGGGATGCTGGCCCATGTTGACTCCAAAGCTTCCCAGAGTTGTGTCAAGTTGGCTGGATGTCCTTTGGGTGGTGGACCATTCTTGATACACACGGGAAACTGTTGAGCGTGAAAAACCCAGCAGCGTTGCAGTTCTTGACACGAACCGGTGTGCCTGGCACCTACTACCATACTCCGTTCAAAGGCACTGAAATATTTTGTCTTGCCCATTCACCCTCTGAATGGCACACATACACAATCCATGTCTCAAGAATTAAAAATCCTTTCTTTAACCTGTCTCCTCCCTTTCATCTACACTGATTGAAGTGGATTTAACAGGTGACCTCAATAAGGGATCATAGCTTTCACCTGGTCAGTCTGTCATTGAAAAGAGCAGGTGTTCTTAATGTTTTGTACACTCCGTGTGTGTGTGTGGTGTCTGGAGGATTGGGACTAACATAAGACACATTTCCAATTCATTTTGGAAGATTAAAAGGGATTGATTCTATTCGTTCAGCGCACTTGACATTTAAAAAAGGTAATTTCTGATTGAGCTGACATATGCAGCGTTTACCGTGAACGCTGTCTCTGCTAACACAGGAACATGACCTTTACACAGGAACATGACCTTTACACTTAACCTTTACCTTACTTGACCTTTACACTTAATTCACGCTGTAGTGCTGAACTTCAGGCAACACGGATTGAAAATTGAGCCGTAAGTTGTACTGATTCTCACCCTGACAGGGATGATGTGAGAGGGGCAGTGGACGAGGGGCAGTCCAGAGTCCATGAGCATCTGTCTCAGCAGCTTGACGTTGCGTTGGTGTTTCCTCCGGAGGGCGCGGCCCTCCTCCCCTTTAAGGATCTGGATGGACTCGCGGGCCCCGGCCAGCAGCATGGGGGGAAGAGACGTGGTGAATATGAAGCCTGCAGCGTAGCTACGCACCGTGTCCACCAGGGCGTCGGTACTGGCGATGTAGCCTCCTACACAACCAAACGCCTTGCCTGGAAGAAAATACAATTAATTAAAACACTAAAATTAGGACAAAAGGACAAATAAAATAAATAAAAAATTTTTTTTCCCTCAGACTACTAGAGAATGACGTGTTATTGGATGTAAAAAAAAAAAAAAGACTGTTTCTACTCCTTTAGAACGGTGTTCACCAGGATGTTGTGTCATCTTGACTCGCTTGTATTCCAACAAAAACAGACAAAGCACCTCTCCTGATTGTCCCAGTGTGTGATGATTGGTCTCCCAGCAGTCCCCAGGCTTAGAGGAAATGTAATAAGAGACTGCGGTCTCCTAGCAACAGGTCGTAAACAGATCCTAGTTCCTGTTTCTCCAGTGTCCCAAGGAGCATTAAGCAACAACCTCAACCACCCGCGTTAGCGACCAGACATCTGGTTCGTCTCAGGGTTTCAGACAAACAAGGACTGCTTCAGGGATGTGACTGGAACATAGAACATCTGTAAATTGTCTAGGAGATGGGGCCGTTTCAATTAGAACTGAATGGAGGATAAAGCAGGAATTCCTAATTTTTCCAGGACGAATCACATCCCTGATTTGTAAAGTGAAGTACTGACCCAGCGTCCCAGAGATGATGTCCATCTTGTGCATGATGCCGTCCCGGTCTCCGATACCTCCTCCTCTGGCGCCGTACAGCCCCACCGCATGCACCTCGTCTACAAACGTGATGGCTCCAAACTCATGGGCCACGTCACACATCTCATCCAGAGGACACACCGCTCCTTTAAGACAAGATAAACAGTATTATATAACCATTTCAGTAGGAGGCATTTTAAACACACCGCTCCTTTAAGAGACGAACGGTTAATATCATAAAATCAGTTTCATAGAGGTTGACAGTATAGAAGCACATTATATAAACATTATCTAAAAAGGCATTATATGAACAGTACAGTGTTAATTTTGGAAGCTATTTTAGAGGTAGTTTTAGTCCTAAAATAGATTAGTCTTTGGCACATTTTAGTCATTTCAACCTTCTTTAGTTATTATCTGTCGACAAACTCTGGACAATATGATTATAGTTTTAGTCAGTCAGTGCATTTCCCCCCCCCCCCCCCCCCTTTAAAATAATTAAAAAGATGAACTACACAGAAATCACACCACCATTTCCTGGTTGCAAAAATTCTAATAGTTCACCTAATTTCAGTTTGTGTGACAAAACAAGCACTCAGTGTAGAGCAGGGTTCTTCAATTCCGGTCCTGGAGGGCCGAAACACTTTTTATTTTTATTTCTACCTGGTAGTTAATTGCACTCACCTGGTGTCCCGGGTCTGAATTAGCCCCTGATTAGAAGGAGAGGATGAAAAACAGAGGTGTTTCGGCCCTCCAGGACCGGAATTGAAGAACCCTGGTGTAGAGAATCATTGTACCATCTAAACCGCTGTGAAATATATTTTCCATATCCAAACATATTGTATTTTCAGCGTACAAAACCAAAAAAAAAAAAAAAGCTTCAGCTTTAATATCTACCACATCAAGTAACAAACACCAAATGGAACCCTGTATAGTGCACTACTTTTGACCAGAGACCTATGGGCCCTGCCGCCCTGGTCAAAAGTAGTGCACTATACAGGGAATAGGGTAGCCATTTGGGATGCATTCCAAGAACTCCACTCACCATCCATGGAGTGGACCGTCTCGAAGGCCACGATCTTTGGAGAGGAGGGGTCTGACTTCAGCAGCAGATCTCTCAAATGGTTGGGGTCATTGTGACGGAAGACGAACTTCTTGGCTCCGCTGTTCCTGATGCCCTGGATCATGGAGGCGTGGTTCCCTGCATCAGAGTAGATCTCACAGCCTATAGAGAAGAATAAGACAGGCCGTTTAGTGCCATGAACCAGATTCACTCAAAAAATGTGCAAACTCTGCACATCTGTGGCAATGCAAAAAAGAACTCGCCCATTGCTACCTGGAAGTACAGTTTATGGTACTAAAAATAAAATAAAAAAATCAGGTGAGTAATGTGACATGGTTACCAGGCATCATCTTGGCCAGGGTGAACAGGGTGGAGTCATTGGCTACGAAGCAGGAAGTGAAGAGTAGCGCAGCGTCCTTCCTGTGGAGGTCTGCCAGTTCCTGCTCCAGTTCCACGTGGAACTTACTGGTCCCAGAGATGTTCCTGGTTCCTCCAGCCCCGCTGCCGTGCTTACGCAACGTCTCCCTGGAAACAACACCAGGTAAACAGGCCAATTAACACGCCCACACCTTCACTGGATCATTACCGGACAGGCCTTTGTGGGGGGATCTACATATAGCTCAAGGGATAGTTAAATTGGTCCTTCGGGGGAGCAGTGAAACCAACATGGTTTGTTTGGTCACCTCTCCACAGGGATCAATTAAGCCTATTGATCTTTCCTTTGGATGTGTTCAGTAGGCAACAAGAAAATATTTTATGTTTTGAAATGGAATGAAATTTGGAGGTAGCCTACTACTATCTGGGGGGGGGGGGATGTTGGGTTTCAAATGTGTTCTTCTACAGTGTGCCTTATTAAACACAACCCACCTGTCTGTTCAGCTCTTCATTTACCCATCAACCCACCTGTCTGTTCAGCTCTTCATTTACCCATCAACCCACCTGTCTGTTCAGCTTCCATTACCATTCAACACCTGTCTGTTAGCTTCATGTTACCACCATCACAACCCCTGTGTTCAGTCTCATTACCCCATCCATCACCCACTGTCGTCAGTTCATTACCACCATCCACAACCCCTCTGTCTGTTCAGCTTTCATTTACATCAACCCATCTGTTGTTCAGCTTCATTACCACCCACATCAACGTCTGTCTGTTTAGTCTTCATTTACCATCAACCATCGTTGTTCAGCTCTTCATTACCACCCATCCTCAACCCTCTTCTGTTACAGATCTCATGTACCCATAACCACCTGTCTGTAGCTCTTCATTTACCAATCAACCACCTGTTGTCAGCTTTCATTACCATAACACCTGTCTGTTCGCTCTTCATTACCACATACAAACCCACCAGTTGTTCAGCTCTTCATTTAACCATTCAACCCAACCTGTCTGTTCAGCTCTTCATTTACCACCATCATAACCACTGTCTGTTCAGATTCATTACCACCCATCCATCAACCCACCTGTCTGTTCAGCTCTTCATTTACCCACCCATCCATCAACCCACCTGTCTGTTCAGCTCTTCATTTACCCACCATCCACAACCCATCGTTGTCAGATCTCATTTACCTCACCCATTGGCTGTTAGTCTTATTAACCCTCACCCATGTTGTTCAGTCTTCATTATAACCACTTGTTCAGTCTCATTACATCAACACGTTGTAGTTCATTACCCACAAACACTGTGTCAGTCTGCATTGACCCATCAACCACGTCTGTCAGTCTCATTACCATCCAATCAATCAATCACTTCCACTGCTCACGTTTATTCGTGATGAGTTGACGACTGTGGTTTGTTAGCCCAGGTAGTCATTGAGCACCACACGGACACGTCTCTCCTGTCGCTAAGGGAATCGGTGTAGTCGTCACCCATGGGGAAGTCGGTGGCCCGTCGGTTTACCGTCTTAAAGACACGGTACGTGTGGTCGCTCTTCTTCTCCTCAATCTTCCTCTCAAAGAACTCATCGTAGTGGAAGTGAGAGACTGCAGTGAGACCGAGAGAGGAAGGAAACATGATTACAAGACAAGGAGGTAAAGATGACATTTAGTTGTCCTGTTTCAATAAAATACAAAAAGACAAGACAAGGGAACATCCCCTTAAGTAACGACTTCAGCCAACTTGTCGCAGACTTTTCTTTATATCTGCAAGGATTGCCGACGACAAAGCCTGTACTTTAATTTCCGCCAACCGACCTAGCCGTGATTGCGGTAAAGTATTTAAAAGTCCTGCCAACCCCCCAGTATAAACATCACCTTTCACCTTACAGGCTTTGGCACTAATTAAAATAATTAACATTCCATTGTTGTTGTCCGACATTAAACTTGTCGTCATGAAAAAGTATAACCACAAAAACTGCAGTCTGCATGACATCTCATCAGCCTGGTCTAAATACCAACATTACATGCTCAATTTTTTTCTAGAGACAAAGATGTGGTTTGTTAGCTAACATTAGCTTGTTAGCTAACGTTCGCTAACTAGCCGGCTCATAATTACCATCATTTCCCTACAGCGACAATCAAGTTTGGTTTGAATGGAACACTAATTTAAAAAAAAAATCAGGGACAATAAAGTTTGGTTTGAACAGTCTGGTCATGTGACTCACAGCTGGGCATGTTCTCCTGCAGTAGGTGGGACACCCTGATTGGACGTTGCTTCAGCAGCCTCTTCATCAGATTGGTCCGGTCAACACCTCCAGACTTCGAGGAGGAGGAGGCCAGGACCTGGGCTGAGGGGTCACATCTGGTGATTAGTGACGGCTGGATAATAGACATATGCTGTATTATTTCTATCTGGACACACAGACAGGTCATGGCTGGACCAGAGATGAAACCTACATGACCAAAAGTATGTGGACACCTGCTCGTCAACATGGACACCTGCACCTGCTCGGGCAGAAATTTGACGAACTGACTTGTTGGAAAGGTGGCATCCTATGACGGTGCCACGTTGAAAGTCACTGAGCTCTTCAGTACGGGCCATTCTACTGCCAATGATAGTCTATGGAGATTGCATGGCTGTGTGCTCGATTTTATACACCTGTCAGCAACGTGTGACAGAAATAGCCGAATCCACTAATTTGAAGGGGTGTCCACATACTTTTGTATATATATATATATATATATATATATATATATATATATATATATATATATATATATATATATATAAATTAACTCCATATTTTAACTATTGCTATGGGCTGAACAGTAATGTCATAGTCTAACAGGCAGATGATCCCCGATGAGGAAGAACATTCTGGAAAACATGTACAGTATTTATATAGTATGGCTTACATCTGTTTTAGTCAAATCATAACAGCCTTCAGGTTATTAAGACTATTGTTACCTGTGAATAATAAAGTAGATGTTTAACTGAACCCTAACCTGTAATAAAGCCTACGATATCTCTGTATTAGTAGCAAAAAGGAATACAACTCCAGGTGGTTTAACCCCTTGTGTACCTTTCTGGACGGTGCGAACCTCCTGCACGTCCTCCTGCAGCTGGATGCTGGCCTGGCGCACCACACCGCTGTTCTTCTGGCCCATCTCAGCCGCCAGGAAGGGGCACTTGGAGGCCCCCGAGGCCTGGCCAGTGGGGGGCATGGGGTGGGGGTGGACCTGAGGCAGCTTGGTGGTGGTGCCCCCATTGGCGCCTTAAAAAGGACAGAAGATACTCGGGTTAGTAGACTAAGAGCAACACACATAGCTTTAAAACTACACCATACACTAGCACAGGGTTTAACGTACTCTGTCCTGGGCCCCCCGCCCCCCGCCTGAGAGCACGTTGTGGTTTCCACCCTAGCACTACACAGCTGATTCAAATAATCAACGCTTGATGGAGTTGGTAATTTGATTCGAGAGTTTTCCTTGCCCCTAAGACGTGGCTGTATGCCACAGACTGTTGCAACGCCATAGAATTAAAAACCAGCCATGTCTCAGGGCAAGAGTTTTTCCTGATCATGTGATCAGTATAAAATGATATCCCTCCACTCACCAGGTGTCTGGGCTGAAGTCCCGGTGTCCTTCTGGAAGCTAGCAGAGGAGGAGCAGAGGGAACGGGCCAGCGGCTTGGAGGCCAGGTCCATCATCACAGGACATTTCTGGGCGTAGACCACCAGGGATTTCCGGGCCTGCTGGAGGAAGGACTGCGGCACGCGGGACAGGAACGGGCAGCGGCGAATTAAAGTCTCCATCCTTACGGTGATCGTCAAAGCAAAAAGGTGAACATTAGGATAGACAGCATTTCTCCTTTAGAGCCCAACCGTTACATTCACCCATGTTACCGTTACATCCACCCATGTTACCGTTACATCCACCCATGTTACCGTTATATCCATCCACCCATGTTACCGTTACATCCATCCACCCATGTTACCGTTATATCCATCCATGTTACCGTTACATCCACCCATGTTACCGTTACATCCATCCACCCATGTTACCGTTATATCCATCCACCCATGTTACCGTTACATCCATCCACCCATGTTACCGTTACATCCATCCACCCATGTTACCGTTATATCCATCCACCCATGTTACCGTTACATCCATCCACCCATGTTACCGTTACATCCATCCACCCATGTTACCGTTACATCCACCCATGTTACCGTTATATCCATCCACCCATGTCGCCGTTACATCCATCCACCCATGTTACCGTTACATCCATCCACCCATGTTACCGTTATATCCATCCACCCATGTTACCGTTACATCCATCCACCCATGTTACCGTTATATCCATCCACCCATGTTACCGTTATATCCATCCACCCATGTTACCGTTATATCCATCCACCCATGTTACCGTTATATCCATCCACCCATGTTACCGTTATATCCATCCACCCATGTTGCCGTTATATCCATTCACCCATGTTGTCGGAGGATATTAGCCTTTTAAAAACGCTATACATCGTATCGGCCAATAACTCCACCGATACTCAAATAGGATGAAAATAAGCTAATCTCATGCTGAACACTTGCAGCTATTCTCAAAAATCAACATTTGAAGCATAGTTATCGGACAGTTACTCTTTTGGATGGCAATTTATGAGAATTCAGTGTGGAAACTCATTTCCCCGCTGTAAAACAGTCCATCAGCAGATATCGGTGTCAGACCCAAATAAAGACATCGGTGGGGCTTTACATTTCCTTTGAATCAGACCTTTTATGAGTGCCACAGTGCTTTATCATGTCTTTGACACACGTATTGTACTTGTAATTTATTGATGGGAAATCATTTTATACATCTCATCATGTTGGGATCAATAAAAGTCATACCATACTCTGTGAGAAGTTGAACATTGTAATGCGTTGCATTCCTTTACTTATCTAAAGCACATGGGGCCTAGTTATGCCAGTGCAGTACCGTCAGTGGAATAGGACTGATCCTTTAGTAAAACTAATCACACAAAAGTATAACATCAGGATGCCATTTTGCTCTTGCATGATAAATGCATTGCTTCTCACAGCCTTTACTACAACAACGAACACAACCACAATGACTAAATCAGTGCATATTCTACCAGCAGTGTGAAGTCGGTAAATGAACCAAAGCTAACAGACTGGAGTCCATATTAGTTGGTTCATACTGGTCCACAGCACCAAATGTAGCCAAGACTACTCCCCTTCTGAAAGGTCGTATTCAGCAGGTACAAGGTGTTGAGAAGGGGGGGGGGGGGGGGAAGAATGGGTTCAGGAAGCACCCGTTTCAAAACGTTTTGCCCTGCTACGTGCCTGGCTACTGAATGGAGAACAAGTTTTTTTTCTAGACAGCCTCCCTCATTCCAGGAACAAGCCCCACTTTCTTGGAAACACTGTTGCCAGTGACATGGTTGGAAGAAAGCAGAAAGAAACCTCCAAAAAGCATGACTCGTCTAGGACCTTATTCTTCCGGTAGGGACGGTACGCGTTCAGGCAGCTCACAGACACTAACGAAGCTCCAGTCTGCATCCTCCAGTTAAATTGTGTTTGAGATCATTTTTAAACTAACTGGTTAAATTAGTAAGAAAGATGTAATTGTTGCTATAGTTTGGGAATGACCAACATATGCCATCATCCAAAATTGACATGCTGAATTATTTTTTGCCATATTACATTTTAGAATGCGCTAATTTCGCAGTACTAGCAGGGCCAATTGTGCGCCGCCCCATGGGTCTCCCGGGTCACGGCCGGCTACGCCGCCCCACGGGTCTCCCGGGTCACGGCCGGCTACGACAGAGTCTGGATTCGAACCAGGATCTCTAGTGGCACAGCTAGTACTGCGATGCAGTGCCTTAGACCACTGCGCACACATTTCCCTAAATGTAATGTGGACAGTTTGCGTTACTACCTTAGACAAGCTCCCATTTTTCACCCCACACAATGAAGTGAAATTACACAATTTGTACCTCAGATTGTCAATATCAAAAGTTAGTCATCAAGATTACACTAAATTGATTGCTTTAAAAAAAACTGATTAATATCTTTGGTTTGGTACTGTTGATTTTATTTACACACGCCTGTCCGTCACAGGACTTAGAACAAAGCTGTCCTTTTCAGACTCAAATGGAAAGATCGACAAATCATTTATGTATGGACCTCGCTCGGTGCACGGGGGCATTGTCATGCTGAAACAGGAAAGGGCCTTCCCCAAATTGCTGCCAAAGTAGGAAGCACAGAATCATCTAGAAAGTCATTGTATGCTGTAGCGTTAAGATTTCCCTTCATGGGAACTAAGTTTCATGAAGCTCCCGACGAACAGTTCTTGTACTGACGTTGCTTCCAGAGGCATTTTGGAACTTGGGTAGCGAGTGTTGCAACCGAGGACAGACGATTTTTACGTGCCACGGCGGTCCTGTTCTGTGAGCTTGTGTGGCCGACCACGTCGCGGCTGAGCCGTTGTTGCTCCTAGACGTTTCCACTTCACAATAACAGCATTTACAGTTGACCAGGGCAGCTCTAGCAGGGCAGAAATTTGACGAACTGACTTGTTGGAAAGGTGGCATCCTATGATGGTGACATGTTGAAAGTCACTGAGCTCTTCAGTACGGGCCATTCTACTGCCAATGTTGGTCTATGGAGATTGCATGGCTGTGTGCTCGATTTTATACACCTGTCAGCAACGGGTGTGGCTGAAATAGCCGAATCCACTAATTTGAAGGGGTGTCCACATATATACACACACAAAAAAAAGTGATATATATATATATATATATATACACACACCTAGTTGATGATCCCTATTTTAAGGTACTAATTTTGCAAAATACAAGTAATCTGAACACAAGTATGACATTGTGTATAGGGAGTAATTAACATATTGATTATGAATTGACATTTAAAACCGACGTTTTGATACCCTGCTATAATTATTATTATTTTTAAACACAGGACAACAGGACGCACCAACAGTATCATTTTCAACTTATGTTTTAGGAATATAAAATGGTACTAAGAAAAATGTTCAACATGATTCTACTTAAAGGCGCAATATGCACCTGGTTGCTAAAGTTGTAATAGTTCACCTAATTTCAGTTTGTGACAAAACAAGCACTGCATCAGAATGTAAACGGCTGTGAAATATATTTTCCATAAACAAAAATATTGTCTTTTCAGCTGGTGTAGAAAACGTAAGACGCAAAAACGAAATTTAACGAAAAGCATAGAATTAGCGCTCATAGAACATACTTACCGACTTTAAATGAGAATGTTATATCTATAACTCACATCTCTATGTGAATTTGGTCTGGCCGCCTAAAAAGTTACATATTGCAGCTTTAAAATCATGTAAAAACTACCGAATGAGCCCCAAAACGTGCTGATTGATTTATTAACTTTAATGATAGTGAAATCGTGAAAATGAGTTTGTCCTGGCTACTTTCAGTCCATACAGGATTTTTAATCAAGGCAAAAAAAACATTTTACATTTAAAAGGTCTTTTACAAACTAGTTACATTACTGTTTAATCTGACAGGCCAAATTAAGTCACAAGAGCTGAAAATACCGTTAGTCATAAATCAATTCAAGACAACAACGTTCAATATATCGACGTTTTAGTAACTACGCTTACATGACCAATGTCATATCTTCCCTAATGACACATGTTAGCTAAGTTAACTAGCGAGTTAAGCATGGTCCGTGCTAATCGGGATCCTTGGGACCGCACCGAAGGATCCCAGATAGCACTGACCAGCTAGTCATTAGCCCCGGTTAGCCCTCGCCTGACCACTGAACTGAATTCTTCCGCTGCTCTATACAGTAGTTCACTAAATACTTCATTGCGGTTAAGAAACTAACGTCCGTGGGCGTAGCGTAACGTTAATATTTGGCCGGAGCAAAGATTCTGGGTAGCCATACAAGGTTAGTCCCAGTACTGGCATACTGGGCTCGCTACATAACCAAACCTGATAAATTAAGGACTTACCTCGCTCCGTGTGCTTTCGGGTCACCCTCTCACGAATAGATAAGTTAAAAGATAGCTTGGCTTGGAAAGAGCTCAGCGCTGTTAGAGTGTAAATATAACGCTAATAGCTCTACTTTTGCAAGACGATGTTTCGTTATCCTGCACTGAGGACGAACGAAAGGACGAGGATATGCAACCGGCTTATAAAATCCAATGAGAATCTCAAGTCTCGCGAGAGGGTGAGTGTGTACGTCATAGCACCCAACCCAGACGGGTCCACCCCAGTCCTGGCTACCTTCTACTAGTTACCATAGCCACAAAGTCATAAACCCTGCCCATTTGATCAATTTCGCTTCTTAAAATGTGATTTTAAACCCAACCTTAACCACATTGCTAACCTTAAATTATGACCAAAAAGCTCATTTTAGTTTTCATGATTTTTTTTACGATATAGCCAATTTAGATTTTGTGGCTGTGGTGACTAGTGGAAACCGCAGTCCCCTCTTTGCCCCCAGAGAATGTTCCATTATTTCAAAGTCAACATGTATTACTCACTCATATCCTCTTATTTACATTTAAGTCATTTAGCAGACGCTCTTATACAGAGTGACTTACAGTTAACGAGTGCATACATTTTCATACTGGCCCCCCGTGGGAATCGAACCCACAGCTCTGGCGTTGCAAGCGCCACGCTCTACCAACTGAGCTACAGGGGGCCCAATCCTTAGGGAGTAATTGTGCTTGTTAATTCTCCGCTATGAGAACGAGACTATAAACAATTAGCCTACGGTGTAGCTAAACATGTACAATAATTTATGAAGTCTGCATTTAGAGTTAGTGGTCGATTATATGTGTTTTTGTAATTGTTGTCTTGGGAAATATGTTGTATTGGTAATACAGTTCAAATTGAATTGACTACACACCATTTTGACCTTCCATTATGGGTCAAATTCAGAGACCGGTCAAATGTGTTACTGAAGATGTTGAAGTGCTGAAGGCTGACGCAAAGGCTGGACTATGATTTGTTGTCTGAGTGCTCCCTTTAGTGTCAGTGCTGCAATATAGCAACACTGCATCGTGTCCTTATTTTTACTTTACCAAATAAATTAGGTGAATGATATTCTGGATATGTGAGGCATCTTTCCATTCAACAATTTTCTGTAAATGATATCTGTAAATTGAAGCTTGCAGAGAATTTGTGTGTTGACCGTTAAGAATGTTTAAGTGCCCATTAAACAAGGGACAACACCGCAGTCAGCAGAACTGTCTTTGTTTTCAACCATTACATTTTTGTGAAATATTCAACAGCTATGCGCTCAGATCTACTACTGACAGATCGAATTAATGACAAGACCGCCGCTTACAGCTGCCACTTCTTCTGTGGATTTGTTTGATGGCGGCTGGCAACCAACTTTAAGGTGCATTACCGCCACCTACTGGACTGGAGTGTGAACCAGCGACAGGGAAGGTCTAAATCCTACCCAATATTCTCATCTACTTAAGGAAACTAAATAAATAATTAAATACTACATCCCCTGAAGATTTCCCCAGCAGTTCACTTAATCCTGGCACTTCAACCCCATCACTCCTCAAATCTAATAACAATCGCTCCCTTTCCCTCCCATATTTCTGGCACTGAAATAGAACATGTTCCACTGTCTCCATCTCCTCCTGACAATGATCACACCTCCCAGTCGGATGTTTCCCACCACTTTCAATCTACTATTGAGCCTTGTGTGTCCCAGTCTCAGCCATGACTACACTTTCCTCCCTTCTCTCTCGGCCTGATGACCTCCCCGTCTCCACCTTTTCCTTGGTTTTATACAGGCGTCTTCCCTTTCCCTGCCTGTTCCACAACTCTTGCTATTTGTTTTTAACCACTGTTCTTATCAACCCCTTGGCTTCTGCTTTACTGATTGACAGTTCCATCTCAACATTAGGATTAGGGTTGAATGGCGGGAACCCATTTACTGAGATTTACCGGGATTTACCGCCCAAAACCACTCCCTTTTCCCGGGATAAATAACTGCAAGAAACCGGTAAATTATAATACATTATTTATAAGAACAGCATGGCGTGAAATGGAACTGTTAAATGATATGTGATGTCTAAATCTGCCTTCTCTACGGCCTCTGCATGATGAATCAACGCTCAGAGTGGGGACAGACCCATCTCAGTATGGAGCGCAGTTCACAAGGCCTGTAGACCTATCATCTGATCATGGTAAGAATGCATGTAGACCTATCATCTCACCATGGTAACAATGCATGTAGACCTATCATCTCACCATGGTAACAATGCATGTAGACCTATCATCTCACCATGGTAACTTTGTTTCTTGTGACAGGTAGGTCTACATTGTCTGCAGCGTAGTCTATGCTACAGTATTATAAAGACCGAATGAGTGTCTAATTTACCCCTCTCCATCTGGCTTTCCATCTAATTTACCCCTCTCCATCTGGCTTTCCATCTAATTTACCCCTCTCCATCTGGCTTTCCATCTAATTTACCCCTCTCCATCTGGCTTTCCATCTAATTTACCCCTCTCCATCTGGCTTTCCATCTAATTTACCCCTCTCCATCTGGCTTTCCATCTAATTTACCCCTCTCCATCTGGCTTTCGGGGGTCACCTTGTTTTATAATTGTAAAGATTTTTTTTATTGCAGTTTTAAAACAGCCTGTCACTCGAATATCGTTGCTTTAAATCAGTGCACGCGCGAGCACTCTCTCTCTCTGTCTTTCTCTCTCCATCAACTATATTCAAATTGCATCCAAAATAGATAGTCCTGTTCTAGATATATATATAGCCCTATATATAGTTGTCCTAGCCCACCTCTTCCAGGTAATACATTCAATGCATTATTAGCCTTATATTGAGCTAATTCATGATGGGTTATGCACAGTGGCGACCCGTCATTCAGGGCAGGTGGGGCAGAGCCTGTTTTGAGCCCCACCTGTTTAGCTAAAAAAATCTCTCTCTCTATATATATATATGATATAATGACAATGTGGCAGGACCTGAAGCGGGCGGTTCATGAGCCAGACACCCCCTCACTCAATTGGCCGAGTTCTGTAAGGAGGAGTGGTCTCTTTTCCAAGCTTAAAAGGATAAACATTAACACGCAACACACCATGGGCCAGAAAAGGTTGAATACATTGGCCATGCTGTCAATCCAGCATGACTTCTGCCGCGTTCAAAACAACTGGAAACTCGGAACTGGGAAATCTCAGACTTCAGTGAGTTCAAGGCAACTGGGAACTCGGAAGAAAACGGTCATCCAACTCGGAATTCCAAGTCTGGAACTCAGGCCTGTTTCTAGAGCTCCAACCTGAAGATCACTGACGTCATGTTTCAACCTTGTTTTTTTTCTGAGTTCCCAGTTGTCTTGAAAGCACCATAAATCCAGAGAATGCCAGACTTTGATGACAAAGTTTGATGACAAACGTTTCCCACAAGAAGGACTGCTGCGCCACCTTCCTGTTCAAGTGAGAACAGCACAACAAGGTGAGTCCAAATATGTATTGTATGCTGCGGCATAAATTATATAATATGCCAGGGAGATATGTATACTGAAGCTAAGAAAGTAAAACTAAGTGTATGTTGTGTAGTAAGCTGTTAGTAGCCCATGTGTCTCACCCTAATAATTTGGTCCTTTTCCCCCTCATAACGTTGCCAATTGTTCTGACTTGGTGGTGCACATGTAGCCTATAGCCTGTTTTAGAGAAATGCAATCATCGAATATTGTAAGAGATTTCATTGTCTGCTTATATGCCCCCTTTATTTATCCTACGGTTCTGACTTGGTGTTCAGGGAGAACACTGTAAGAACGGCCCATGTTCTGAATTCTGTCGCTGTACATTTCAAAAGTTCTGAACAAATAGTTATATTGACTACGTCCGTCCTAGCTCGCTCATTAATGTCTTAATGGAAATTACGGATTGCCTCTTATCCGCTCGTCGTCCCCTTATGCCATAGTTTGTACATCTCAATTGTCAGTAGAAACCACATTTGTTTAAGCAAGTCAGCCATATCAGCTATGTTTTTTTTAAAGGCAGTAAATGAGGCTGAATTAACTGTTTCGCTGCCAGACAAGGCTCCGCTGATAGCCAGGTGGAGCAGTGGTAAGGTGTTGGGACTCTGCTGTTGGGACAGCTTTATGGAGGCCCTAACAGTTTGTGGGCACCGTTTGTCACCGTTATAGAGCAATTCATGTATTGTTTAGTGTTGTGTTGTGTAGTGGCTTTGCTGACATGCATCTAAAAAAATTAAAAATATGTGTTTGCCCCACCAAGATTTACATGCTATTATCGCCACTGGTTATGCATAATATATATGCTTCTAACTTATAGCCTCTGTCTCTTGCGCAATACGCAAGCACCTGTGCTCCCCTGTCCTCTCCTTAAAAAACGCTCCTTAGCTCTTGGAGTCCCATGCTAGCTGGAATGTATTTTTATTTTTATTTCTTATAGCAACAGACCAATGGACTATTCGAATAGGGACGCAAGCTCCTTTTTGCTGAATGTTAAACACAGCAGCCAATAGAACTCGCAGGTAGTTTGAAAGAAGAGTGAACGCCCAATGGCAGTATGCTATAGCAGTTATTTATTCAGACCCATAACCAACCAGTCAACCTTTGTGAATAGAAGTGAAAGCCTTCTGCATCTAATTCTAGTCCTGTATTATTCAAGGATGTCATTAGAATGATGAAGATCGGGACAACAAAACTTATTTCATTTAACTGTTGAAAGTGAGAATGAAGCAACAATAGAGAGATAAAGAAGAGAGAGGCTAATAACATTAGGGGAAATATTCAGACCGCTTGACTTTTTCCACTTTGTTACGTTACAGCCTTATTCTAAAATTGATTGATAAAAAAAATGTCCTCATCAATCTACACAAATACCCCATAATGACAAAGCGAAAACAGGATTTTAGATTTTTTTGCAAATGTATAAAACAACTGAAATACCTTATTTACATAAGTATTCAGACCTTTTGCTATGAGACTCGAAATTGAGCTCAGGTGCATCCTGTTTTCATTGATCATCCTTGAGATGTTTCTACAACTTGATTGGAGTCCACCTGTGGTAGATTCAATTGATTGGACATGATTTGGAAAGGCACACACCTGTCTATATAAGGTCCCACAGTTGACAGTGCATGTCAGAGCAAAAACCAAGACATTACATTTTTAC